ATTGAGTGTAAAAACTGACAGTTCAGGACAGGCTACAGTGGAGTCTAGTGAAACGCCAAAGAGCACCTCAAAGCATGTGTTTCACATCAATAAATTTAACACAGTGAAACAAAATAATATATTCAATTTAGAAAACCTATATAACCTTTTAGGAAGCACATACCAAAAGGACACCGTGTCCACACCTAATAGAAATCATTTATATCAGACTATTAAGTATTATCATATACAGTATACGCCTAAACCAGAATTAATGGTTTGTAAATCACAACCTTTTCATATGCGATTTTCAGTGAAAGGTGAAATGTTTTCAGTGGAAGGTGACTAATAAATCATGATAATTTTACTTTTATTGTGTTAATTCCACTCTTTTGTTCACAATAATTTTTGTAAGCACAAGACCACTTTAAATTCCATTGCTTAATTAGTAAACCTTTTAAAGTTTACCCGAGAAAATTTAAAAAAAAATTCAGATTTACCTGGTTTGTACCCTTCAATCAGTAAATTAAGGTCAATCATTGGGTACTTGAAATGTTGACATTTAGCACATGTATTGTGTATAAAATACCTTGTTTGACACACGTCCAACAGTATAAAGTATTTTTTTAAAATTAATAAAATAAGATGTGTTTCGATGCAAATACTGATGTCTCGTATGACATATTAAAGGTTAAAGTTTACGAAACATGAATTTTTATCCAAGGTATTTCAATAAAATAATCAGAAAAGTTAATTTTTACTCAATGAAAATTTTTCACATGGATTACACTGTAAAAATTAAGAATGATTCTTGTTGTGAACATGTTCAAAAATTACGATTTTTCTAACATTTTAATTATTAGCTCACCTGAGTCGAAAGCTCAAGTGATCTTTATGATCAAAATTTGTCCGTTGTCTGTCTTCATTCTTGTCGTCATTGTCTTCGTAAACTTTTCACATTTTCATCCTCTAGTCAAGAACCACTAGGCCATTTTCAACCAAACTTGCCACAAAGTATCTTTGGGTGAAGGGGATTCAAATTTGTTCAAATGAAGGGACATACCCTCTTTCAACGGGAGATAATTATGAATTTGTGAAAAATTAATGGCATTTTTTAAAAATGTTCTTCTCAAGAGCCACTAGGCCAGGAAAGATGAAACTCATTTGGAAGCATCCTCAGGTAGTGTAGATTCAAAGAAGATGGGTGAATAAGGCGGGCAAAATGCCTATAGTGCAACAGATAAGAAGTGAAAATTTTAATATCAATTGAATCCAAATTTTACTTGATATTTCATCTAATATTCAAGTATACTTTATGTAAAATCTCTACAATTTACAAAAATCTCTCAAAAAATGAAAATATTTTTAAGATTTTGAAAGGGATAGACAAGGAAGATTTTTTTTACAACGTACCGTAGTTTTTTTTTCAAAAGTCGGCCTGCGAGATTTCTGCTTGTAAGTCTGAAATTACGAAATTTTACAATTATCATTAATTATATTGATATTTTTATTTACGATGTCAAATTCTACTAATTTTATGATGAACAGTGGGCCACCAAGCTGTACAGGTAATACTCATTGACTTCATGTGTATACTGTTTGTGTATAGGGGTTAGCGCTTCCAACGGTCTGCACGACCGTCAGTGCCTCTGAGTGCCACGCGTGTAAAATTTAGTCCCTCACCTTACCTAAAACCGTACGGTTAAAAATCTCACCTTAAAGTTTTGCATCAAAGGAAATTAAAAAAAAAATAAATCAAAAAGTTTTTACGAAATTTGTACACTCTCATCAGTTTTGAAGCTTTTCTGACAAATGTTAAACACCTGGCACTAAATTAGAAGTTAAAATAATAAATTAATCCAACATATAAAGTATTTTTTTTAATATCTGACGAAATAGGCATTTTGCCCGCCTTGTGAAATACTGACGTCTCATATGACATATCAAAGGTTAAAGTGTTGCCACAATGGAGGCCATTTTCCAAAGTCAACATAATCAGAAAAGTTCACAGTACTCAAAGAAAGGAAAGCACATGGATTACTCTGTATTTAGTACGAAATCACCACCACAGTGTTCTAAAAGTTGAAGTTTTTCTAACATTTTTACATTATTCGCTCACCTGAGTCGAAGCCACAATGGATCTTTATGATCAAAATTTGTACATTGTCTGTCTTCATTGTTGTCGTCATTGTTTGTAAACTTTTACTTTCATCCTCAAGTGCAGAAAAGCCATTTTATATTAGTGACAAAGTATCCTTGGGTGAAGGGATTCAAGTTTGTTCAAATGAAGAGATATTCCCTCTTTCGAGGGGAGATAATTACGAATTTTACAAATTAATTGCATTTTTTACAAATGTTCTTCTCAAGAGCCACAGACCAGGAAAGATTGTTTTTCATTTTCCGAAGCATCCTCAAGTGTCACAGGTGTGTATGAAGTTTGTTCAAAGCATGTCCTGGGGTAGGGTGGGGCCACAATGGTCGATCAAAGTTTTACATAGGAATGTTCAGGTGAGGATGTCTTTAAAAGACTTCTTATCAAGAACAGCAAAGCCATGATCGGGGGGGGTAAAAACAAAAAAGAGCAATTGCCTCAATGGTTACTACCCCCTACTGCCTGAGTTTCTCTGTCTTATTTGTTTAATCACTGCGGTTATCGAGGTTTGAAAACCCAGAAATTCATGTTTTACATATGAATACATGTATATAAGGCAATGTGACTTGCAAATCAACTTTCTTCTAAAGCACGAGAAAAATTTCCTCGAACTATATTTACATGAAAGTATTTTGGTTATTTTTCTAAGATGGTACCTAAATATTTTACTTCCAATATGAGAATCAATGTTTTTCGTAAGAACATCAGTGAAAATACTCTAAAAGTCTTTTTCTCAAGAACAGCAAAGCCATGATTAGTCATTGAGGGTAGATAGAACATTCTCATGTGGTGTCGATTCAAATTTCTGGCACGCCAAATTACCTACTGGGGTAAGGTGGGACCACAATTGTCGATCAACTTTTACATAGAAGTATATAGGAAAAATGTTCTCAAGAACAGAAAAGCTTTTTTTTTTCGAAACCTAGTTCACCGGTGTGTATTCAAGATTGTTCAAAGCATAAACTATATTTAACATCGGGTCAATCATTTGCGATTGCAAAACAGTAGTTTTTTTTTCATAGCCAGTGCTCAGGTGATTTGTAAACTATTGTCTTACAATATAAAAAAATTTGACAGTACTAATTCAACATGTAGACACGATTTGTGAAACTAAAAAAGAGCAACTGCCCTTTCAATGGAAATTTACTATTGTAAACTATAGTTTACTCTGTCTATTTGTATCAAATCACTGTTGTTAACGCTTTATTCAGACAGATAAATTTCAGATTAGCATTCGTATACTATAATTAACAACCGTTAAATATAGTTTTACAGATGAAAACTATTCTTAACAAATCGTTAACTATAGTTTACGGTTTGTAAACTATAATTTATAGTCGATAAACCTAGTTTATCAACAGTGAAACTATGTTTAGTTCATTTTTGTGAATTTGGCTTGCCATAGATATTGTCCTATGGACCCGGTTTAACAATGTGGCGAGGGGCTTGTATCGAGACACAGTTAGATCATTCCAACTACACTGAGGGTTACTTTTTTTTTTGGAGAAAACAATACTATTGTTTTACTAGTATGTGTTTGACGGGTAAATTCATTATAGCCCACTTTCATTTTCGGAGTATCCTTGAAATGTTGAAGGCTTCCTCCCATGTTGAAATCTCTCCATGGGTTTATTGTTATCGAAATTATCATTAATTGTTTGAAGTGTTTTACCATCAATGCAGAATGAGAGTAATATTTGGGCAAAAAATGTTTTTTATATGCACAAACCTTAACTAAGTTAAAATTTTCATTAAGTTAAGCAGAGATATATTGAAACACATCGTTAATCAAGCAGAGACATATTGAAACACATCGTTAAAATTTAAACTATAAAGAAATGTGAAAAGAAATGTACAACAATCCGGAACTGCAATAGGATTTCCTCCATGTTCATATGTATTATCTGGACTATATATACTAGCTGTAAGCATCATTTAGCAACAAGCATACAACAAAGGATAATGAAGCAAGATTGACATAATAATACTGGACCGGTAGAGAAAGGACAAAGGCCAATTACCAAGGAAATCAGCCTGCAGTATTTGAACAAGTATGCAAAATGAGTATATCTCGTTATTTTCTTTTCATTCACTACTAGTACATCTTAAAATGATGTCCATTTGAAATAGCTCTTAATGCAAACAATTCAAACCATTTCAAGCTGAAAAGAACAAAAATAGTTTATGTTCCACATTATCTTTTACGATTGCTTGCGTTTATGCTCGCGTTAAGCATTACGGATATATGAATTACTCAAGTAAGGGTAATTTCCTTGCAGAGATTATGTAACATGATAAAAGGGAAAACATACAGAATGCTGGATTAATATAACTTGTATGTTTTGTTATTTTTTACCTCTGTTAATGTACTCTTGATTCATCATATTTTTTTCTTTCCATGTAGCAGAAAAACATCAGATGATCGACTCGTACGATGATTTAAATGACCTCCATGATGCCATAAAAAAGAAGGAAACTAAATCCGTTCTGAACATCATCTCAAAGAATGGTGACCTTGTAAACAGGGTCCTGATTGGCCACACAGCCTTGACCTTGGCCGTAGATCTCAAGGTCAGTGACGTAATCGATGCTGTGATGACAAGTCCTGACCTAGATATCAACACTACGGACAGGTTCGGCCGATCTGCATTGTATTTCGCATCCAAGACGGGTCAAATATCATTAGTAAGGAAGCTGATGACACTAGGGGCTGATATAAACCAATCAAAGCTATTGTTACATGGTTGTGCTCATGGTTGCCACGACGATGAGACAACAGTTTACGAACTGGTGAGTTTAGGAGCTGATGTCAATGATGTGGACGAGAAAAATAGAACTCCACTGCATATCGCTGTTCAAAACTCCCTTGTGAATATAACCAAAGCTCTGTTGAAATGTAATGCAAATATCAATGCTTTCGAAAATGGAACATCTCGGACTCCTTTGATAATATGTGCAGGAAAATCTCTGATCTCATGTGATGCCAATAGCGAAGAGGAATATTCAAGGTCCTTAAAAATACTAAGTTTATTGTTAGAATATGGCGCTGACATCAATGTTTCAGATGAAAGGGGATATACTGCGCTTCACATTGCTCTACAAAACGGAAACACCTTGGCAGCGTCTGTACTTCTTCACCACGGAGCAAAATCTTACTCCCTTAAAGAAGAAACAGTCCAATCTGCCTACGACGTTGCGCTATCTAAAAATCATTTAGAGGTCGCTTTCATTATTCTCCTAAATTTTTATAGATACTTTGAAAGCTTTCCTTTAGAATTCTATAGGAAGATGGAAAAGGACTTGCAGGATAAAGAAAAAGATAAAAATGAGGTCAACAACTACATCTGGGCTTTGAAAAAGTCTTTAGAAGACATGTACATTCTAAATTGTAGCCGAGATGACATTGCTCCTGCAACAAAGGAACCACATTTATTATCAAGAAAGGTACCAAAACTTCAAAATTTGTGTAGGCATACAGTATTACGGAATTTGAACTTTAAAAATTGCAGCATTTCACTACCAACGGCCCCACGTTTACAACGCTTTATATACTATGACACCAAGTTTGCTGCTGTAGGTTCGTCGTTTCTTACGGACATCCACGTGGCTGCGCGTACGGGAGACCTTGAACAATTAAGTCAGAGACTGACTCAAAAAATCGTTGATATACCATTTGATGAATTTTCATTACTTGAAATTGCCATATTAAGACAAAGTATCTCCTTGACAAATTTCCTATTGGAAAACGGCGCAGACCCCAACAAAGAAACAAAAGAAGGACTGTTACCTCTGCATTTGGCATGCCGCCAATATTGTCCGGAAATAGTCCAACATCTTCTGGAATTCGGAGGCGACGTTAACGCATTTGACACGCATGGTAACTTGCCAATACACGAGGCCTGCATTGCTGGACATTTCGATATTGCCGAATTGCTAATTCAACATGGCTCTGAGTTTAACTTCCCGGATTGCAATGGCCGGTACCCAATTCATTATTCCTCGGCCAGTGGTAACTGTCATTTCACGAATATTCTTCTCCACTTAGGAGTTGATGTTAACACGACTGATACTTTTGGGTATACAGGACTTCATCTGGCAGCAAGTAGGGGTAATCTTTATCTTATGAAAAACATTGAACTAGCTTATATGTTCGAAAGAGAACTGCTAATGAAAGGTTACATGTTTATGCTGCAGTATTCGTGTAACATCAAATGTGTTCCAAAGCCGAACTATGCGTCAGGAGTCGATCACATTAAAGTTATTGAAATTATGTTAAAATCAGGATGTAACAGTACCGCGTTATGTAAAAAGGACAAGTCTGCATTAGATATTACAAGGGATTACAGTTTCACGGATGTGATGGCTATCTTACTTGGTAATCAACAGTAATTAAGATAAATACATGTATGTATTTGGAGGTCAAATACTGTTGACGGGCATTGTCTCGCTAGGACTTTATCAAAATAATTGTTTAAAATGTTTTGTTTTTTTTTGCCAATACAACTGTTACCAAAGCAAATCACTTTGTTTTTTTCCAATTCGAATAATATTCAATATAGAGATTCCATGCATACAAGGAAAGTTCTGTAAAATTTTGATAATACATAATCTCTTTACCCGTGTATAAAGCATTCTTTATCAATCACATTCATGTGCTTGTATCTCATTTAAAGTTGATGATCCGTTTTATTTGGTTTTAAAGAAAGGTTCCTTTGCGTGAATTATTATAAATTTATTAAAACATTCTAGAGGTACCGTGAGCAATGAGTTTATAATAAACGATACTCCCGCCTCCCATATAAGTTTAGAAAAAAACATTATAGGTAATATAATTTATCATATGAACGTAATAATGGCAAACAACCTAAGTTATGTCTTCTTTGTGTTTTTTTTTTGTTTGCTCACCTGAATGGTCAACTCAGCTTTTCGGATCACATTTTGTCTGGCGTCCGTCTGTCTAGCTGTCTGTCTGTAAACTTTTCACATTTTCGACTTCTTCTCAAGAACCGCTGGGTCAATTTCAACCAAACTTGCCACAAACTTCTTGGGTGAACGGGATTCAAGTTTTTTTGGTTTCAAATGAAGGGTCCCGTCCTCTTTCAAGGGAAGATAATTAAGAAATAGTGAAAATTTGATCGCTTGTTTGAAAATTTTCTTCTCAAGAACCACTGGGTCGAGAAAGATGAAACTAATGTGGAATCATCCTTAGGTAGTGTAGATTCAAATTTGTTCAAATCATGACCCCTGGAGAAAATCTTTAAAAATCGTCTTCTCAAGAACAACAAAGTCATGATTGCTCATCGTTTATATGGAAGCATCCTCAGGTAGTGTAGATTCAAGTTTGTTCAAATCATGACCCCCGGGCATGGCATGCCAAATTCACAAAAATGAGTTAAACATAGTTCACAGTCGATAAACTAGGTTTATCGGTTGTAAACTATAGTCTACAATGGACGATCCAAGTTTTACATATATATTTTACATAGGAATACTAGTATACAGAATTTTTTATAAGAAATCTTCTTCTCAAGAACAACAAAAGCTATGATTGGTCATATTGATATGGAAGCATCCTCAGGTAGTGTAGATTTAAAGTTGTTCAAATTATGAACCCCGGATGTAGGGCTTGGCCAATATGAAATTTCAAACTTATAGGGAAATATTCCACAGTAAGTTAAAGAAATATGTAAGCATCCTTAATTAGTGTACATTTAAGTTAATTCAAATCAAAAACCCCCTCCCCACTTCCGCTTTTTAGTGATAGGTCGGGACCACATGCATTTTAAGCTTTCCAAACCTGGATTGATTTTTATTTTTTCCTGGCCACAGTGCTCAAGTGAGCAATGTGGCCCAAGGGCCTCTTCTTTTATTAGCTCACCTGAGCTGAAAGCTCAAGTGAGCTTGCCACAAAGTATCCTTATGTTAAGGGGATTTAAGTTTGTTCAAATGAAGGGCCACGCCTTCTTCCAAGGGGAGATAATTATGAATTAGTGAAAAATTAATGGTATTTTTAAAAATCTTCTTCTTAAGAACCACTGAGCCAGGAAAAATGAAACTCATGTGGAATCATCCTCAGGTAATGTAGATTCAAGTTTGTTCAAATCATGACCCCCGGGGGTAGGGCGGGGCCACAATGGCCGACCAAAGTCTTATATAGAAATATATAGGCAATTCTTTAAAAATCTTATTCTCAAGAATAGCAAAGCCATGATTGGTCATATTCATATGGAAGCATCCTCAAGTAGTGTAGATTCAATTTTGTTCAAATCATAACCCCCAAGGGTAGGACGGGGCCAAAATGGCTGACTAAAATTTTACTTAGAAATATATAGGAAAATTCTTTAAAAATCTTCCTCTCAAGAATGACAAAGCCATAATTCATCATATTTATATAGAGGCATCCTCAGGTAGTGTACATTCATGTTTGTTCAAGTCATGACCCCCGGGGGTAGGGCGGGGCCACAATGGCCGACCAAGTTTTACATAGAAATATATGGGAAAATTCTTTAAAAATCATCTTCTCAAGAATAGCAAATCCATGATTGGTCATGGGACTTCTTTTCAATAAACCAATTTCTACTTTTTAAGCGCTAAGCGCATGCGCAAAGCGCTTCTTCGGTAGGCATCGAAAATTTCCATGGTCTTTTTATCAGCGCCCCCTATCGATCTTGTTTATCTTTTATCAACGCCCGCTACCGAGCCTATGTTTTTTTAAAACATGTTTGATAACAAAGAATATCTAGGTCATTAATTCTTCCATTGATAATTAATCTTTTCACCGATGAATTGGTAATTATTATAGTATATCAACAATTGTATTAAGTTCATGTTTATTGTCCGTCAATTATCATACAATTTCCTCTTGCAGAAAAAGATAATCATTCTATGTACATGTGTTTTATTAAACATGATTAAATGCCGAAATTTTCAATCCCTGGTCGGATTCTGCTCGTGTGTAGACTGTGTAAACTGTAGGGAGCGTAATTATAAAATGTGTAGGAAAACCCGAACCGGGTTGGAGATTTCTAAACTGAGAACCGGGATTGTTTAATTTTTATTAATCAGAATTCGTATTCATATGATCTAATTAAGAAAAAAGGTTTTGTCTGCCATGGTAACTTCTCGGCAAACCAAAAACGTGTTTCTCCGAGCTCGCTTGATGCGTTTGACAAAGTTCTCCATCGCACGTGTGTATAGACCAAGGCAAACTGATCTTGCGGACACATGTATGAGTACTGTTTGTTAGGAGACTGGGCGACCGTAATGCTACGGACTCACGAAATTTACACCAATTCCATAACCAGACAGTGCAGTTTTTTCTTTAAAAAAATCATTAAACACTGTTAAATCTAAAAGTCGAATATCTTTGGATATGGGGTAACCCATGTGTATTCTTGTTTAATTGCCTGACGTCACGGCGTCAGGCTGTATAATAATTGATATTTCCAAGATCCGAAAGTGTGCGATCCTATCTAGAGAGCTAGATTTTGTGCAAGCTGATTAACAATGGAATTTTTTAATCTGCATTTTAAAAGAAACATTTTTCAGAAAAAAGAAATGATATTACTGATGCAAAATACTGCAGTGTTTACTTCCTTTACTCATTTTGCATGGAACAGATTATTCCATGTAATTCGCCGTTTCAACATTTCCTCGATCCTTTTTTCTGCCTTTCTATACTACTGGATCAGTCCATTTATATTCTTTGAAAGGGGTGAATTGCTCTTTTCGCGCCAAATGTCACTAGTAAGCTATCCGCGCCTTTTCCTTGGATTGTTCTATTATATGAATGGGTGTGCTAACTTCCATGAAAACTCCTTCTTATGCTTCAGAAATTCTATCTACAGGTTTTACATCTTTCTTTAAAACAACATATCGTATGTACACATCAGTTTTCTTGACATGCAACACTAAAGAAATGATTTTTTTCTAATTTGTTTCTCGATCCCGCGATTGGTTTATTGCATAAATGGACTGGTCCAGTAAAAACGCAGTTCTAATCAGCGTCTGCATGCAGATGCCTGATCTATTATATGGCTCTGTTCAGATGTACACAATAAATAATAAAGCAGTGAAAAATCTTGGATTTTTCTTTTCACAAAGGCCTAGATATTGAATTTACTTATTTCATTCTCAATATAAGATAGTACGTGTCACTACCCCCCCCCCCCTTTTAAGAAAAAAAATAATGAACACACGTTACTACTGTTTACTTCAGAGGAGAAAGTACACTCTAGCAAAATGTGTATTTAATTATATCCATCTTTTAAAATGTTTACAATGCATGATTTGACAACAGATTTTATAATAGGTGTTACAATGTAGCTTGAAATCAATTCAGATCCAAGGGCAGGTCACTTCACTTGCAGACCCCCCCCCCCCCCCCCGAATAACACTCTTTAGTATGCAGTGTAGAGATGATTCTTCTACAAGTAAAACCAAGAACTCTGTCGAGACTGAAGCTCTACTGGATTTTACTTAGCAAAGAAAGAGAAAAGTAGAAGTTGGGAATCGAAACTTTACAACAGCAATAAATAGTCTAAGAATAATGATCCTTGATGAAGTCTCTTTATGTTCTTAGCGTAGTCTACTTGCATGCCACATTGTATTATAATCAGACTAAAACTGTATTTAGGATAATATTTTGATAGTATTTTACAGAAATTTCTATCTTTAGTAACCAAGGCAATATTGTTCATCAAAATCAAAAAATGATAATATAGAATAATGTTTCTTAGTGTAGTCTACTTCTGTGGAAAATTATATTGAAATCAGAACAAAACTGTAGGAGGCGTAGTATTTTGAAAGTATTTCACAGAAAGTTCTATGTTTAGTAACCATGGCAACATCGTTCATAAAAATCGAAAACCAATAAACAGAATTGTGCATCCAAATGTAGTCTACTTGTGCGCCAAGTTATATTGAAATCAGACCAAAACTGTAGGAGGAGTAGCATTTTGAAACAATTTCACAGAAATTTCTATTTTTAGTACGTAACCACGGCAACACCGTTCATAATCAAAGTACTGAGAGTACTGATAGGCGGAAGCATGTGTGCAAGTTCTCATGTGCAAAACTTTAATGACACATATTTGAAGCATAATCTTTTTTAAAGGGGGGGGGATGAAAAATACTTTGGATTGTAGTATTGAAACCAAGAAACAAGAATAAACAATATGTCTCGCTTTTGATGCGGATACCTGAGAATAAGTCACGTCAATAGCAATATGAACATTTTAACATTTATTATATCCCCGCTTGAAAAGTGGGAGGGTATACTGTAATCGGTATGTCCGTACATACGTACGTCTAGCTGTCCGTTCGTCCGTCTGTTCCGCTTTGGGGTACTCATCTCTTATCCGCAATTCCTCTTATACCACTGAGTGAAATTTAATGAAATCTTCACAGAATCTTTATTACATATTGCCATTGTGCACCTCCTCTTTTACTTTTTGATCCGACACATATTTTGGGTTTCCTGGCCACAGCAAAACATAGACTTTTCCATTATAATCATATGGGAGGCGGGGGTATCATTTAGTGAGTTCATTGCTCACAGTACCTCTAGTTTTTGTCAAGTATAACAAGTTAAAATTGAAATGCAAGTTGCATTGCATAAAATTTGTAAGATATGGTTTTGGGGAACAAGAAATGGAAAATTATAAAATTTCACACAAAAATGAGAACTAATGAGTAATAAAAAACAATAAATATCACAACTGCTTTGGGATTTTTATGTGTACATGTATTAAGTTTTAGTACCAATGAAACAAATTCTTGTTATAAAATAGCAAATTATATAAGGAATACAACATACACAGACCTTACATAGATTTACAAATGAATGTGCTTGTGGTTCTATGAATTGTTTTCATTCAATACATCCCCTTACCAAAGTAAAATTATTGCAGCAATATTGCTGCTATATTGCGGCAACATTGCGGCAACACAATTTTGTCACCAGAAACAAGCTTTTTAGCTCACCTGAGCCGAAGGCTCAAGTGAGCTTTTCTGATCAAAATTTGTCCGTTGTCTGTCGTTGTCGTAGTCGTTGTCGTCGTTGTTGTAAACTTTTCACATTTTCATCTTCTTCTCAAGAACCACTGGGCCAATTTCAACCAAACTTGGCACAAAGTATCCTTGGGTGAAGGGGATTCAAGTTTGTTCAAATGAAGGGCCACGCCCTTTTCCAAGGGGAGATAATCATGAATTTGTTAAAAATTAATGGCATTTTAAAAAAATCTCCAGAACCGCTGGGCCAGGAAAGATGAAACTCATGTGGAAGCATCCTCAGGTAGTGTAGATTCAAGTTTGTTCAAATCATGACCCCCGGGGCAAGGGTGGGGCCAAAATGGCCGACCCAAGTTTTACATAGGAATATATAGGAAAAATCTTTAAAAATCTTCTTCTCCAGAACCACTGGGCCAGGAAAGATGAAACTCAAGTGGAATCATCCTCAGGTAGTGTAGATTCAAGTTTGTTCAAATCATGACCCCCGGGGCTAGGGTGGGGCCAAAATGGCCGACCAAAGTTTTACATGGGAATATATATGAAAAATCTTTAAAAATCTTCTTCTCCAGAACCACTGGGCCAGGAAAGATGAAACTCATGTGGAATCATCCTCAGGTAGTGTAGATTCAAGTTTGTTCAAATCATGACCCCCGGGGCTAGGGTGGGGCCAAAATGGCCGACCCAAGTTTTACATAGGGATATATAGGGAAACCTTTTAAAATCTTCTTTTCAAGTACTTCAAAGCTATGATTAGTGATATTTATATGGAATCATCCTCAGGTAGTGTAGATTCTAGTTTGTTCAAATTATAACGCCTGGAGGGGGGGGGGGGAGTAAATTCAAGACTGATGTGCTCAGGTGAGCGCTGTGGCCCCTGGGCCTCTTGTTGGGTTAGTGAAATATCACCGCTAGCGGCAACAACTTCTGGTGACATTCTGGCAATACTGCCAGAAAAAATGAAATATCACCGCTAGTTGCAACAACTTCCGGTGTATTCTGGCAATACTGCCAGAAAAAAACTTTCTGGCAACATCTAGGATTACCCATGAGACATTTGTTGAGCATGCTCAGTCATTTACTTCCTCTTTTTAATTTAAGTGGAGGGAATTCAAAGGCAAGCATGTTTTGCTTCATTGCTGACTTGTATCAAGTTGATTAGAGTTGTTAATTGTGTACAGTGGGATTAGTCAAGATGAGTAGTAAGACTGCATAGTGTGGAATGACTAGAAAGAAGAATTTAAGCAGAATTATAGGAATGTGTACTCTGTTTCCATATCATCAGACTTGATGAGTCAAAACCAATATTCTTTTTGAGATGAATGATTCAATGGAGATAAAAGTGGAAAAATTATATGTGTTTCAATTAGTGCTTGTGATGCATGCATACTAGACTTGTATGTCTATATATCCTAGAGTAGCAGGAAAAGATGAATTAAAGCATGTTATTTGAAAATTAATGCAGATCGAGTTGCTGGACATTTTCACAGTGGCATATTAATATTGTTTCTATAAACATTTTTCATGCGCCCATCTCGATGGATCGGGGGTACATATTGTTTTTGTCCTGTCCGTTTGTTTGTAAACTTAACCTTCACCATTACTTTTGAACCAATGAGAGATAAAGATTTCATATTTGGTATGTCTACTCCACTAATTAAGTTCTTTCAAATGACATCAAGGTCAATGACCATGTGACCTTGACTGTGACCTATATGCTAAATATAGCTTTTTCAAATATTCATCATAACTTAAAATAAATGAAAGATAGAGTCCACTTTATATTTAGTATGCATAATTCACTAATTAAGCTTTTCAAAAGACACCTGAAGGTCAATGACCTTGAGACCTTGGCTGTCACCCATATGCTTAAAATAGATTTTTTGAATCTTGGACATAAATCTTGAGCCATAAAAGATAGAGAACTTGTATTATGTATGCACCCTTCATTAATTAAACTCTTTCAAATAACACCAAGGTCAATGACCTTGGCACCTTGACCATATACTTAAAATAGATTTTTTGAAACTTCGACATAACTTTTGAGTCATAAAATATGGAGAATTCATATTTGGTATGCACCCTTCACTAATTAAACTCTTTCAAGTAACACCAAGGTCAATGACAATTTGACCTTTACTGTGACCCATATGCTAAAAATAGCCATTTTGATCCTCTGCCATAAATTTTGAACTATAAGAGATAGAGACTTCATATTTAGTATGCATTCTCTACTAATTAAGTTCTTTCAAATGACACTAAGATCAATGACTTTGTGACCTTGACTGTGACCCATATGCTATAAATAGCTTTTTCAAACTTTATTGCCACCAGGCGCACAGTGTTTCACAAACATAAATCAAAAAAAAAAAATCAACATAATTTTATATCTGTTCAAAGAATAGCAGAAGTACACTTGTAGCTATTTCTTATTGACCCTGTGGCTTGCTATTGTTTGTTATATTCCTCAGCACAGTTTGTTAATTGTTAGATTGATAGATCATTATATTTCTATTAAATACCAATTTATATCTAACTTACATTAGAAAAACGATATTGCCGCAATATTGCGTCAATAATGCCGGAAGATGTTGCCAGAAGATCAATATTTTGGTCATGATTTGCAGCAATATTGCCGCAACACCTTTCTGGCAATATTGCCGCAAAACTAATTAACATATGAAAAACGATATAGCCGCAATATTGCGGCAATAATGCCGGAAGATGTTGCCAGAAGATCTATATTTTGGTCATGATTTGCAGCAATATTGCCGCAACCCCTTTCTGTCAATATTGCCGCAAAACTAATTTACATACGAAAAACGATATAGCCGCAATATTGCGGCAATGTATTGCCAGAATGTTGCTGCAATATTGCGGCAATAAAGCCAGAAGATGTTGCCAGAAGGTCAATATTTTGGTAAGGGTGTATGGCCCAGGTAGAACAAATCACACAAGTCTCTAATGCTGATGACAGGTGAGCCCTGTGTCATGATGTCCACAATAAATGGAATATTTTTTCAGGAGAGCTTCTACCATGGCAGGCCCTTGAATGCAAGACAGTTTTGTTTTTATTCCTGTGGTAAATTTGTCTTTGATGATTGTATTAAAATATTGTTACATACATCCTAATATCAGTGGTGATTTCTTTTCTGGAGATTATCTACACGATTCCCTTCACAACTGTCTCTTGGCAGAATTTTCTACAAAGTGTATAATTGAAAAAAAAATTAAGATATCTCACAATGTTTATTTAACAAAAATTATTTCACATTATGTATCTGACTTTCAATAAATGAAATCAAGGACTTCAAATAACCTTTTATGATATACCGGGTATTTTAATATATTTTCTAGGGAAGTCAACTTTACCGGGTACTCGATCCAAGGTCCAAGTATCGAATACTAAAAAAAGGTACTCGTTTACGCGGATGTATATTATTTCTTATTTCAAGGTACACATTTTTATCAGAAAGTTATCAATTATAACTAAAACATGCAAGTGGTAATTAGCATGTCTTCATCTACACCTAGCTGTAAAACACCCATTATCGCCTTGATGTACATTCATACATTCAGTGAAATCTGACTTGCATAGAAATTAATGCCACTTTACCCACTTCAAGAGTGAAGTGGGTATATAGAAATAACAAAAGATTCAAAACTGCTGAAAGTGAACTTGTGTAGTAAGTTTAGTGTAAATATACTGGAAACAACCAATTTACAAATGAAATAATATAAGACTAGCGATCCTGACCAACAACATCCGTCCCCTCTCCTTCGCTAGTTATATAACATACGCGTGTACACAGCAGTTTTTCAAATAGATCCAATTAAAACAACCTTTTGTAATTTTGGGTGTATTTTGCATTTGTGTTTTATTTGATAACTAATTTTAGTACCAAAAATTATTTCCAATGGAATTGATAATTTTGTACATGCATGTAATGAAAAAGTCAGATATCGAGTAAGCGATTATTAAACATGTTAAATATTGACCGATTTGACTTCTCTAATATTTTTTGTATTTGTTTTCTTTTTCAAAAGCCTACTATTATAAGTAATCATGTATTTGCATGTATTTAAAAAAAATGAAAAGAAAATAAGTAAACAAAAATAAGAAAAGTCAAAATATACTTTCAAAAATAGTATTCGGTTCAGTTTTGCCATCATAACAAGAAGATTTGTTATGCTATAAAAAATATGTATCATAAGTTATGAAAAAATTTTCCACTTATCTAGAAATATAATAAATTGATGTACTCACCTTCAGAAAAGTGTTTCTGGTTGTGCTGAGTTGAGTTTTCTTCTGCCATTTAGAGGTGGCACAGGGCAAATCCACAATGCAATCTTAATTATATCCACTTTCTGTTAGGTGCCTCCGTAGCAGGGACACATCTATACAAAACACAATGTAGTTCTCACGCTTGCATCTTAATTTCTGTCCAGATTTTACAGTTTTGGCCCATCCTTCAACATGCATGTATTAACAATAAATGAGAAAGGATATATAAATGTATACACAAACTCGACATGATAATTCCTCAAATAATTTCTCCCAGGCATGTAATCATGGTAAATATAGAGTACCAGTTCGTTCGATAAGACCCGACCATATACCAGCTATCATATTACGATATCTAATAGTGGAGTGACAATACCATCAAAAATTTGAATTTAATATACCACTCTACCCTACGGCTGATTTGTACTTTTTTGGTCAGATATATTATCAAGCAATAATTTTTGCCCGGTCGTAGAAAATTCTATGGTCAAAATTTAAAATAAAAGGAGATCAAAGATCAATGAATGAAATCTGACCATAATATTGTACATATAAAGAAAAGTGTAAGGAATTCGTGAAAATAATGTATATTTGTATAGGAATTTTATTAATTCGGTGAATATATTGATTTCATGGAAAAGGAACGAAAAAAATGAATAAGAATGCCCGTTTGTCTGTCTGTAAAATGAAAGGTTTGTCGTATAGTATTTTATTTAAACTTAAAAGGTTAAATGCTAATGTACGTTATCCTTTACGTACAATCACGAAATATTAAGTACACAATGTAAAAAAAAATTAAAACAAGAACAACAACACCCATCACCACTACACCCCCCCCCCCACCCCCCCCCAAAAAAAAAAAAAAACACCAACCCCTAAAAAACCGAAATATGACCATAAATTGTGCACTTTTTTGAATGTAATATTCTTATTAAGCTTTTTTCATCTGATTCATTATTTTTTAAAGAAATTGTTCGACGATTTTTAAAAAGCTTTTTAGTAAAAATTCTTCTAGAGTTCACCCTTGCTCTCACCCTGAATTTCGGTACTCCGGTCTCATCCAAAGGACAGACAACGGAATATTTAAAGTTTTAATATTGTGGATATTATTCATTTCTCTGTCTAAAAAGGTCAATTTTTTTTTATCAATGAATGTTGTCTATATGATTTGAAAAGTTTAATTTGGTGAACTTTTGAATAAGCGTTTACTCATAAATTAAGCAGGTTATAAGTTATATTGTAGAGATTTTGGGGTTTTGAAAGATTTAGAACACGTATTGGTGTTAAAGTTGCAATTCTTTGAAAAGGGGTGAAGAGATAAATTAATGACGTAATACATTTGCTAGAGCTGTAATTTCTATTCATTGGTTTTCATGTACACGTTCATGTATATCTTTATTATTAATTTTTCAAGAATATATTTCAATTGAAAACTATAAAAGTAAAAACTTTGTAAAAGAGCTACACTGTAAAAGTAATGATAGCCGATCCTTAAAAAGATACTTAGGTGGGTAGATAATAATTAGAAAAGGGCAAAGTGTTGATCAAGTGGCAATATTCATATTAAATGCATGTGGTGTGGCTTTTTTGAAGTGCTGACTGAAAATATCTTTGAATTTTGAAAAAAGGCTGATTGCCCAAATACTCAGTAATCTTTGTAATTTCTTCAGAAGTCCTAAAAAGAATGTTGAAAACTCCTTGTTGTATCTGTGGTTGGTTAAATATACCGTATATAGTTCTATGTCTTCTGTCTCCATTGCAATTTTTAAAATTAACATTAGACAATTAGTTCTTGAAGCAAAACGACAATTCTTTCTCAAAAGGAAATATATCGAAAAAGCCTTCTTATGACAGAACAAACCATGAATTTTCCGAGCAAAAACTTTAGTGGATTGCTTTTACTGTTCCGTTTGCTTCATATCTTCCTTTCTGGTACGTCTTTTCAAAAGAAAACTTAAGTACTGTAAGCAAAATATGATCCCCCCTAAAGGATTATAGTAACAGAGTTCAATTTTTGGCGGTATGTACAAGTAAATGAGGAAATGCGTAAACAAGATATGTATCCCTTAGTTTGAATAGTGACAAAGTCCATGTTTTTGCTATAGAAAACACTAAATATATTTCCGAAGGAAACATGAAATAGTTTCTGTAAGATGATGGACAGTCTTTAAGATGAAAAACTAAAATCGTTTTTCTCTCTCCGTTTCATACTTGCGTTTATATGTATTGCTTATGAACTAGAAAGGCAATATCCAATCATGCAAGATACCTTGTTCAAACAAGAATGCGAAGGAAAAGTGACATGTTTGTCATTTACGTATTTTTTTAAATTGAAAAAAAGGAAAATTATTTTCAATTGCTCATTAATTTAAATTCAAACTGAATATTAGCGTTATCTTATTAATAATAGAAGCCAATTTAATATATTTAACAACATTTTGATCGATGGAGTCACTGTCATAGACATAATGGGATTCTATAATCCGTTCCCAGTTACACAAAACATTTTAGATCAAGTAGAATACAAGACTTATAGTGTGAGGATGTCTTTAAAAAAGTGCGGTTTATTTGATCAGAAATCATTGTCTTATAAATCTTTCTAACGCTTAGGTAAATATTCGATATTGATATTGCATGAAATAATTGTATTGAATATTATAATATTTTGTTGAAATAAACGCAGTTTCTATAACAAAACATGTTTTTAAAGGGGGGGGGGGGGCAAATAATATTCCTGATTAATTTTGCATTGTAAATTTAGATACCTTTAGCTATCCTATCACACACAAATTAATATTTTTATAATTAATAATTAATTTTTGAAAAAGAATATTATCAGCAAGTAAAATTAACGACTTAAATACCCCCCCCCCCCCCTTTTCACTTTCATCGCAAGTTTAAAAAAAATCTGACTTGAGAAAACTCTACGAGCGGGCGAAAATGTATGAGGAGGGATGTCTCTTTTATAAAATATAACTTTCAGCCGTAGGGTATGCCGGTCCATTAAACTCGAAAACTAGGCATCTTTTTCTAGGATTGTCACTCCACTATAAAACATATGCCTGCATAGGGAGGCGACATTTTCACGTTAAAACAATCAAAGATAAGGGTGACAATAAAAGATAGGCTAATCACGCAGCGTGAGTTACCTTGTTTATTTTGAAGAGAAGGCCTGTCACTTCCAGTCAACCATTGTAAATCATTTGTACTCCACGTGGGTTTGTTGACAATAATTTCACGCTGAATCGTCTATATCTATGTTAGATTATTACGCGAATGTAGTACACAATTGATAAAAGGAGTTACATACCTCTTTTCTTCTATTTTATACAAGATTATTGAAAAGATAAGTTCTTCAGTAGCTATGTACCTGTCAATAATTCTTAAACATAATTACCTACTTGAACTATTTCATCCCTCGTAGTATTTCTAAAGATCGCTTCAGTCCGTGCTAATCAAATGTTATGTTGAACCCGATTTGTTTATGTTTTAGACATACAGAGTTGTCGTTCGTTCTTCAACGTTTCAGCAGTACTAAAGTAACTATTCCTTCTATTATTAGGCTATTATTTTTATTGGACTTTTTTACATTAATCAAAATAAATTGTTAAAATAAATTCGCCATAATACACGCTTTTTGATATGATAATAACGATAAAGATTGGGAAGGGGGTCGAATATGATTAATTATAAGCGGGTTGTATGCCCTTAGTTTAAGATACATCCGTTTGGAGTACCATGAAACGGGGCAAACATCTTGAGAGGTCGAAAGGTCAACAAAGCATGCAAAAGTAAAAGGCGGCTTCCGCCTAAAAATCGAAAACCGATAGAGAATAATGTATCTTAGTGTAGTCTACTTGTGTCCAAATTATATTGAAATCAGACCAAAACTGTTGGAGGAGTAGCATTTTGAATCAATCTCACAGAAATTTCTATTTTTAGCAACCACGGCAACACCGTTTATTGAAATCAAAAACCGGTACACAGAATAATGTATCTTAGTGTAGTCTACTTGTGTGCCAAATCAGACCAAAACTGTAGGAGGAGTAGCATTTTGAAAAATTGTTTACAGACAGACGGACGGACGGACAGCTGGACGGACGTTAGACGCATTACTATCGCAGAAGCTCTTCTGGTCTCTGACTAGTAGAGCTAATAAAATCAAGATTTCAATTACACAAGGTTCTCAAAATATAAAGTTGGGATATGTTTTAAACCCACAAAGGTATTTATGCTCAAAAGGTTTATCACTCTTCATGCAGATAAATTGATTGATTTAGTCAGGCAAGCTTTTTAAAAAGCTGTTACTTGTGTTGTATATTATGTTCGATTTCAAAATGACGAACTCAATTTCGTGGAGTGATACAGCGCAAAGCTTACGAAATACACTGAGCAAGTTATGTAACACTACCAAGTCGTCTAAAAATATACAACTGGAAATCCCCGACCCTCTGTCGGCTACTTTTAGTGTAGGAATTATCATAATAGGTGTTAATTAGTAGAGTCGATATTAACTTTCGTGTGTACTGAAATCCTGTGTTTGTGGATATATAATGGCGGGTCTTATCTCTGAATGGTGCATATTAATAAGTACTGGCAAACACCAATTATGTCACAAATCTTATTTCTGCAGTGTAATTCGAAAAAGTTAATACAAGTACCTTAAAAAGATTTAATGCGCACGAGTATTTAAAACTCTCATTAAAATTTCAATAAGAATTTAAAAATCAAATTGGAATCTATTAGTAGTACATGTACAATTCCATTGAAAAAAATTAACTAGGTTCTATATATCGTTTGAATTCATTTTGTATATTCATTTCTTTATTTTTCACGCCATCTTCTGGGCCTTTATTTCAAACAATGTAAATACAAACGAGCCTTTTTATTATCACACTTGCATCATGCAGAGCGCTATCAATGATAATGATTTCACAGCATCTCATTATCCATTAGTAGCACAAATTTTAAACTTGAACGCATTTATATAGATAGTCTATACTTAATTAATTTGTAGTCTTTCTTTGTAACAAAATATTTTGATGCAAAAAATTCCTTTAGATTGAACGCTTAGATGTTGTGTACGAAAGCCTATTAGGATCAATCTAGAGAGAAAAAAAATTAAAAAGGCGTTATAACGCCTTTTGAAAAGGCGTAATAACGCGAAAAAAGGCGTTATTACGCCTTTTCATTCCAAAAGGCGTTATAATGCCTTTTTAAAAGGCGTTATAACGCCTTTCTAAAAGGCGTTATTACGCCTTTCCATTCTAGAAGGCGTTATTACGCCTTTCCAAAAGGCGTTTCTAAAAGGCGTTATTACGCCTTTCTATTATAAAAGACGTTATTACGCCTTTCCAAAAAGCATTATTACGCCTTTCCAAAAGGCATTATTACGCCTTTCTAAAAGACGTTATTACGCCTTTCCATTCTAGAAGGCGTTATTACGCCTTTCCAAAAGGCGTTATTACGCCTTTCCAAAAGGCATTATTACGCCTTTCCAAAAGGCGTTATTACGCCTTCCTAAAAGGCGTTATTACGCCTTTCTAAAAAGCGTTATTATGCCTTTCTAAAAGGCGTTATTATCCCTTTCCAAAATAGTTATTATGCTTTTTGAATAACCATTATTTTGCATTTAACAGGCCCGTGCTTTTAATACCCCCCCCCCCCCCCCACACACACACACACACACTCCACTGTCAAAATTCGTGGGGGAAATACTCGGTAAAAATTTATTTAATGCAATAATTTGTCACAGTTTTACATACTGCAACAAAATGTTCAGGAACCAAGAAACCAATAGTTAATTATAATATTTAAACTGTAGCAAGACTTTTCCTCAAAAGTGTGTATGTTTGGAGGGGGGTTTACCCCATTCGCACTCATATTACTGGCCTACATGAAAAGGAAAAGGAAAAGGCATTATCTTATGTTAATAAATATAGAAAGATTTAATTAAAACCATCTTTATTTATGCAATTCTCTATATTCCTGCACATCTCACTGACAACTGTTTGCATTCGTATTAAGAGAAGGCAACACTCTACTTGTGAAGATCTAAAATATAGGCAGACTTATCTTGGAGCTTTGCTTGCCATGTACAGTGTATTAAAATTTATGTCATTTGAAGATATTTTTCTCTCTTCTTGGAAAAAAGAAGGCAACTATATTTGCATGGGTATAATCAGCAATTGAAATCAATGACCCTTGGTAGAGGTGTGCCTGGTATGAAAGAAGGACTTAGTTGGTTCAACATTGAAAATATATGACGCATTTAAAAATCTTTTTTCCTGGAAATCTAATTGCTATTTGTTTAAATTATTTTTTGAGAAATTAGTCCTATATCTAATTGTGAAATTTATGTCCCAAAGGTACGATTTCTGCATACACCACCCCCCCTCGGTTGGGCTAAATATGTTTAGTTATGTATTGAAAGTAAAAGGCGTAATAACGCCTTTGGAAAGGTGTAATAACGTCTTTAGAAAGGCGTAGTAACGCCTTTTAAAAAGGCGTTATAACGCCTTTTCGAAAGATGTAATAACGCCTTTTGGAAAGGCGTAATAATGCCTTTTAAAAAAGCGTAATAACGCCTTTTAGAAAGGCGTAATAACGCCTTCTAGAATGGAAAGGCGTAATAACGCCTTTTAGAAAGGCGTTATAACGCCTTTTAAAAAGGCGTAATAACGCCTTTTGGAATGGAAAGGCGTAATAACGCCTTTTCAAAAGGCTTTATAATGCCTTTTTTCGCGTTATTACGCCTTTTCGAAAGGCGTTATAACGCCTTTTAATTTTTTTTTCTCTCTAGATTGATCCTAATAGGCTTTCGTAGTTGTGGCTATTTCATTCTTGTCAGCATGTTTTACATGATCATGATGACAGTGAAAAAAAGAAGCATTTTAAAGTATTTCCGCCAAAATGAGTCAAAGGAAAATACGAACGAATTTTAATATGATATATATTTTTATTTCTAAGTAGATGAGTATTTAAATTAACATTTTTATTTTAAAAACAAATATTTACAAATCAGCTTCAAATATTACACGAGAAAAAGAATGGTCAAACGTTTTTAATTTTCGGTACAAATAAATTATAATTCATGTGCGTGAGAGTCAGAGATGAAGGATAAGACTGGTTTTTCATCAAAATGACCAAAAGACAAATGCAATATCCTTATACCCAAAATTGATATTATAGCAATGTAATGAAAAAAGAAGTAAAGTCCTCGGGTTTTTGTTACATGTCTTTTGCAACATGCTGCACGATGAGGGATTGGTATCACAATTATTTTTAATAATATACATTGAAATATTGAAAAAAAAATTATTGTTTTGTTATTCAACTGTACCATATTCGATACAAAATTTAAAAGTTCAATTTTTATTCATTATTTGTACACCCAGTAACTTTTATTGAATGCGTGTATATATTACTAGTTCCTATGCTAGAAATGTTTTTTTGTAAAACCGTTTAATATGTAAAAATATAACTTTATAAATATCTACGAAGAGGAGAAAAATTAAATTAACTAAAACAGTTCAAACAAAATATTAAACCATTTTAAAAATCTTTTATTCATAATATTAATAATACCTAATAATATAAAAACAATATCTCATTTCTCCCTGTGCAGTTTCAAATACAACTGCCAATAGGTCGATCACCTATATGCGGCCGATAATAACACCGAAAGGCACGGTCGCCGACAGTCAATTTTGAATTTGAGAGCAGAGTGATTTATTGTTCAAAATTTCACTAGAAGGTTTTGTGTTCTCCACTTTACGTTCAAGATAAGGATATCAGCAACATCTTAAGCATTCAAAATTTGTCCCCCCCCCCAAAAAAAAGGCCTTCCAGCTAATGTAGAGCTATATACATAATCTGAAATAAAATGAGTCAGAAGAAAAAAATCGGATTGTAAAATTGATATAAATTTGATTTTATCGCAGAAACCTGGACCCACAATGCAACACAAGTAGTCTTGTTCTCTGGACTTGTAACTATGGTGCGGAAAACAAAGAAGGTTATAAAAGTAACTCACTTGCTTTAAAAAAAATGCACAGAGATAGTTAATGAGATTCTCTTTGGTTTTTTTTTTTTGCATATTTAAAGACTTTGTTATAGCAATACAACTTACATTGGATGTTATCTAATGTAACAGTCAAGGCAATCAAGAGCTGGGTTTATTGTTTTCGCCCCCCCCCCCCCCCCTCTTTACAGCTGCCCCGTCAAAATTATACATGTACTTATTCCAATGCAATAAGGAATTTAAATTCTGATGAATTTCAAATTCAACCCATGCTTAGCACTTTCCAGTACTTTCAGTACTTTGATTCCTAGCCACAGTGTTCTGGTGAGCAATGTGGCCCATGAGCCTCTTGTTTATGTAAAGATGTAAAGAAGAAAAGGGTTTTACAGATAGATTTAAAAAGGAAGAATTGTTTGCTAGATATTGATGTCCTGTATTGCAGCTCATTGAATTGTTGAAGTTTCTCCAAGACAAATGCAAAAAGGCCAAATTCAAAGGTGCTCCAGGGAAGATCTATGAAATCCCTAGCTCCAACATTCAAATTTTAATGCTGTGGTTAAAGATTTTCAAAATTAATTAGGTAAAGATCAGACGGTCAGAATAAATGGTACCCAATGAAAGGGTTTGTAAAATGAAACATACCTGTGAAAGGGACGGTCCTAACCCTTACCGTTCTACAGGTCATTATGTCGGTACAATGTACCCAAATACAGAAACTGGCGTAAAGAATACACCGGTGAAATATGAAAGCCATAACTCCATCTAATCAAAGGTTATAGACAAGGTTAAAGTTCTTTTCGAACAGACAGGCAAACCGACGGGTGAACAAAATAAAAACTCTATGCACCTGATTTTTTTTTCGATTATGGGGGCATAATAATAATTAATAACACAGTACTTAGCCAAAAAGTACTTCGATGAATAACTGAATTTTATCTGCTTTGAAAGATTGTTTACATGTATAAAAAATGTATCTTGAGAAATAATTGCATACAGGTGTCTTTATTCAGGTGTCACAAATATCTTATTTGATTTAAATTGTCCTGTTGGGGTTATACACTTCCTGGATTATTATTGAAGATTAAAGGTGATTCTTGGGTCAAATTTCTGTATAGCGGAAGAATAATTCATTCATTGTTTAAGTACCAATATGCCTTTTTTCTACCTTCGATTAAGGTACTTCCAATAATTTAGCTTAATTTTGGGCGTATAAACGACAGGAATACTTATATTTTTCATACAAATTCAGGAAGTTTCCGTATTCCACAAAGGATGTAGTAATGGCCATTATCCGTATCAAACAATAACTTCCTAGGCGTTTAATGATCAAATCAGCGACCGAATTACTGCTGTTTAAACATATCCCCGGACATCAGAGCGTTTAAAAAATTCAGAAAAAGGAAGTTAATAGACAATAGTGTCTTCTTTTTCATATCAGTTGACGAAAAATCGAGACATACAGAATATAATGAAAAGAATCTACCACATAAGTTGCTTTATTGTGATCCTCCAGGCTGCCCTAGCTGAAGATAACGCAAGAGAAGGGGCACCGGTCAGTCCTGGGAATACAGATGTTTGTCCATACTGGGACTTCACTTATCCGTACACGAGTGGAGTAGACTCTGAATGTTGGTTTTCTGTGTCAGAATCAACCAAGAAAAGGTTCCTTCACGAAGTTGCTCAGAACTCATACAGTCTTGTAAATTTTGTGCTCCGCTTTGAGAATGTTTCCAGCAAACAAATCAATGAAACAAGATGCGTTATACAAGGCAACAAATGGACCTGGACATTTCCTGGACCTAAAGGGTCCAGACAATACTTAAACTGGCCGTTAGGTTACCGGGTCTGGTCTCTAGGTCTCTTAGATGTTAACACCTTGGAACATTTCTCTGTTCCGTTAAGCGTTCATGGAAATTGTCAAATCCAATATGGTGCTAACGAGACAACACAACGGATTTCCTTAGCTCTAGCCAATCTTACAGATTATCTTGTATCTTATACTAAAGATGGCGATGTTAACGGGATGGCGGAGTATTATAATCAGAGCTACTGGTGTTACAGGGAACGCATATTCATCAAGAGTCATGCACTTTATTTGCTCTGTCTCAATGTCATTTGTCCTGTGGAAGCAATGGGCTATCGATGTTGTCGCTGGAAGTGGAATTTCTTGGCGAAAACACGAATCTTGGAGTGTTCTGGAACTTACCTGAAATACAGAAAAATTGGCTGGAAGTTACCGTTTGTGCTAGGTCTGGTATTATACATGTATTTTCCCCTTATTCTCGTGTGGCTTCTGAAATATGTCCATGAAATCACATTTAGAGGTAGTTCAAGCTATCATGTATTCCGGAACTTTTCAATCAGCGACATGGAAGGTCATATTCAAGTGGCTGAAAATAAGGAAAGTTGGATTTTTTACAATCCTGTACATATTGGAACCATTATAACAGATGCTTTTAACTGTTGCTGTGTAAAATGCCCTATTTGGACTTCAAGAATTGTTAGAATTACTTTCTTTTTCGTAAGCATATCAATCATCGCTCTGAAGGTACTATTACATGGACTAATGCAATACAACGACATAGTTGCAAGTGTAAAGAAAGGTGTACCCAAAGATTTCCAGTCCATGTTGGCGGGATACGAGCTGAGCAGTAAAAATTTCCTTCGAGTGTTCGGGGGACCTTTCGTAGCGTGTCTGTTATACGCCGTGTGTTTCATATTAAGTACATGTGTTCCCTCCGACCTGGCAACATTTCTTGCAAAAGGACTGGTTGAGAACAAAAATGAAGTCGAATCCCCTCTAAAAATTAATGCATTTGTTCGAGTGAAATTTGGAGCCATGAAAACAACGGCACCCGTAAATGGATACGAAAAAATATTCCGTGTCTTCCTATCTCAGTTCTTTATGGTTCTGAACCCATCTTTCTGGAAATATGCTGTAATCACACAGATTAGGCGCTGGAATAAGTACAGTCTTAACGCATGGAGGAAATCCGCATTTATTGGAAGAATATTTCTTTTCATAGCACCTCTGTATGTTTTGTTTTCTGTTTTGGAACTAGCGTTGTGCCTTTTGCTTCATGGAATCCCATTGATTAGTTTCATTATGACGATAGCACGTGCATACGTCATTGAACCTTGGCGGGATTTAGATATAAGTGCCCCTTTAAAAGTAATATGCCGTCTCTTTGCGTTTTGCTTTGTGGCATTCAGCAATTACATGTTCAGTATAATTTTTGTCGATAGCTTCGTCTTTATTTGTGGAGTGTTTGTGTATACATACACTGGGTTATTTGCGCACCCAGAGGTAACTTATGGATACCTTATATTTTCTTTTACGGTCCTTATATATATGTTTGACAGCTTTAATGACATTTCTAAGTATTACGACAATATATTCCTGCATACCAGAAAAATATGCAAGAAAATACACAAGTATGGTCAATATCCAGATACAGCTTTGTTCAAAAGGGAGGAAGAATGCAAAGGCATCCCGAAGGACCTTTTCTTTTTAATTGTGAAGAAGTACAGGCCCATCAGACAACAGGTTTTTATCTCTCTCTTAAAATTAAGCGTGATTGTCCTTGTTTTATATATTTCTGTTGATCTCTTGTTAGAATTCTCCGCCTCTAAGAACTTAAGTCTACTTACACAGGCTGCAGCCACTATTATTGTGTGTCTTGTACCAAAGGTTTTAGGAGACTCGTGCTCCATGTTTAAGAAACGAAGGCATCACAGTCAGTCGCAGGAAATCAAAAGGATCATACACGAGTATTGTCTTCATTCCACAGACGAAGGTAGCCAAGGAGGTCCATCAAATTTAGAAGTGTTGTAGACAGTGTTCGATTTTTTTTCAAGAGCATTTGTCTAAACAATCGAATACACTTTAAGTAAAACTGTATTATGGAATTATTCTTGTTTAGTTTAAGTGAAATTACAAAATCAATAGTTTAGAAATGTCATGTTTTTTAACCATTCAACGCATATGTTCTGATCACTACGTACTGATTTACTGACGTATAAGGGCGATAGAGCGAAAATGTAGGAGCAATGATGCAATGTTAACAGAACTGGTTATAACGATAACTTTCACCATAGGACGCTATGGATCTATAGGACAGATTACAATAAATACAATCGTAGTCGTAGCCCTTGCGTTTGCGCTTTGTTTAAGTTCCATGAGTGATAGTGACCTTATTAGTACAGTATCTTAAAGGACAAGATAGGTTAAGACCCCATTTTGGCCCCTGATTCGAGGTGTCTTTTAAAATTATTAATTACCTAATTACAATTAAAAACCTGTTATCACCCCTGCCACGAAAAGAGTATTGTTTGTAAGTTATTGGATACACGGAGATCACAGGAAGATCAGAAAAAAAATGTCAATTTCCGAATTTTCTCATTTTTACATCAAATAAAGGGACCAGATTCGGACATTACAGCAATATTTGTCATAGATTTACATTTAGATTGGCGACCTGAATAATGTTTACCAAGTAAAGTGGGTGAATTTCATAAGATTTTGTGCAAAATATTTTGCATGGAATTATACAGAAAGCAAAAGAAAGTCTCATATATAAGCACCAAGGAAAACCTACGATTTCTTTATATTTCAGGAATTTATTATTTACGCCATTTCACATCAAAATCAGGCAATATATATATATATATATTAATCCATGCATCAAATTTTTGTCTGTGTTAAGTACCCTTAAACTGCATGTATAAAGAATGTTATAAGACATATTAGAAGTGCACTTCAAATGATAAAAAAATTATTTTCGTTTCATATTTTCCAAACACTTTATTCTTAAATATGTATAGGGTGTGTCGGTATATTTCTGTGAGGGTGAGGGTGTGTGTGTTTGTGCAAATTATAACTATAAAGGCATATTAGAATAAATGGAGATTGCAACTATAGACTAGATTAGAACAAGCATGAAGATTACTGTACAATATACATATAAAGAGGAAGGATGACAAAATATATTATTGTCTATGCTTTTTCATTGCACACATATATACAAAGTATAATAAAAAGTAAAATGAAGCACTCACATACAGTAATACACATTTACACTTCATATATACTTCTACAAATGTAACTGAAGTGTTTCTGATTTGGAATGTACTTCCTCCTTCGTTGCATTCAAGTCAGGAAAGTGTAATTTCATGCTATAAAGTAGGGAGCCCTGTTCTTTCTCTGGCGAAATCTCTGTTGATTTCATTATAGTCATTTCATTATAACACTCCATACCCTTTTTTTTCCAAATTTACATTGTAGAGGTTCGCTCTCGAGTAAACACACTAAAACGTCTTCTTAATGACGCTCGAATTAATTTCGGTGATCCAATCTGCGCATGAGAAAGTTTTCGCTGTGCTTTAGATGACGAATCTCTTTTTTCACTTATCTGTAAGTAATGTCGATATTTAATTATAATTTTAGAATAATTACAAGTGGAAATGCACCAAAACAAATTATAAATTATAAGTAAATTAACAACAAAGAACATACGCGAACAAGGCGAGCAGAATGCTTTTTAAATTTTAAATCAGAACCTTTTCGCTGGAAGCATTTTCGGTAGAAAAGTTGTGTTCGTTGTAATTTCATACCATTCAATAATAAGAATTTTACTTAAAATGCTAAATTTATAAATTACATAAAGTATTTTGTAAGTTATAGGCATTTTGCACACTTTCTTCGCCAATCTTTCATGAGAAAGGTGTTGATTAAAAACACTTATGAATTCAAAAGGTCCACTTTTGTGATTTGGTAACCGAAACCTGTGTATCAATGAGTACGCCTAACTAAAATTTTAAGTCAGTTTACTGACTTTGCAGAAAAGGATAAAAATATCTATCTCAGTTCATTGGCCGGATTCTTCTACCTTCTTTCAAACTAGCAATACTTTAAGTTTTCCAGCTTAAGGAGTGTCCAGTTACCCTGAACAACAAATTTTGAATCTAAACAATGAAAGGCCAATGCCAAGTGTGTATATTGTGAATATTGTATCAAAAGTCAGTTTGTGAGAAAGGGATATCTGGAGACTTGGTCCAACGGTTCTTGATCAAAAACGTAGGTCAGATAAATTCTTCAAATCTAGATCTCTTATTTTGAATATTTTAATTCCTATACAAACTCAACCAGGCTTTACCTAGACAAGTGGAAGGTCACTGACCAACGATTTCTTCTCAGATAAAAATAAAAATAACTTTAATGGAAAATTCCATATTTCTTATGTTTAACTAAATAAATATGCAGTAAAAAAGATTCTCAGTGAAACAATAAGCGATGTTTGAAGTCCAAGATCATGCAAATATGTATTATAAAGGATGATTCTTTCCTGGTCTTCGATTCCTTTCATTTGCCAA